GATCCCTCAGCTCCATGGATCCCGTTGATCCCGTTGCTCCCGTTGCTCCGCAGGGTTCCCTCCCATGCCGGTGCCTCCCGCCGGCTTTGCCGGGCTCACCGAGGACGAGCTGCGAGCGATGGAGGGACACGAGAGGCAGCACCTGGAGGCCCGACTGCAGTGCCTGAGCAACATCCACACCCTGCTGGACGCGGCCCTGCTCCAGATCAACCAGTACCTCACCGTCCTGGCCACCATCGGGTAACTGGGAGGGACTGGGATGGGGCTGGGAGGGACTGGGATGGGGCTGGAATGGGCTGGGGGGGTCAGAGCAACCACCACTGGAGCAACATCCACACCCTGCTGGACACGGCCCTGGGACAGTTCAACCAGTACCTCACCGTCCTGGCCACCATCGGGTAACTGGGAGCACTGGGGGGAGCTGGGAGGGACTGGGAGGGACTGGGATGGGCTGGGGGGGTCAGAGCTCCCATGGGGATAACAATTCCTGAGCAACATCCACACCCTGCTGGACACGGCCCTGGGACAGAGCAACCAGTACCTGACTGTCCTGGCCACCATCGGGTAACTGGGAGCACTGGGAGGGGCTGGGAGGGACTGGGAGTGATGTGGGCTCCAGATCAACCAGTACCTCACCGTCCTGGCCACCACTGGGTAACTGGGAGGGACTGGGATGGGACTGGGATGGGACTGGGAGGGATTGGGAGGGACTGGGGGGGTCAGGATAACAATTCCTGAGCAACATCCACACCCTGCTGGACACGGCCCTGGGACAGAGCAACCAGTACCTGACTGTGCTGGACACCATCGGGTAACTGGGAGGGACTGGGAGGGACTGGGAGTGATGTGGGCTCCAGATCAACCTGTACCTGACTGTCCTGGCCACCATCAGGTAACTGGGAGGGACTGGGAGGAACTGGGAGGGACTGGGAGGGACTGGGAGGGACAGATCAACCAGTGCCTGACTGTCCTGGCCACCATCGGGTAACTGGGATGGACTGGGGGGTCCTGGGCAGGTTTCCTGCCCTCCCCCCCAAACTGCCCAGAATTCCCAAACCTGGGATAACTCCCCGTTCCCCCCCCCAGGACCCCCCGAGGGGCCGCTCCCGCCCCTCCCCCCACCCGGGACCCCCCCTCAGAGGAGCCGCCGGGACCCCCCGGACCCCCCCCGGGAAGGGGTGAGCTGGGAAACCCCCCCCCAAACTGGGGGCACTGGGAGGGACTGGGAACACTGGGAGGGAGAACCCCCACCCACCCCAAACTGGGGGGACTGGGAGGAACTGGAGGGACTGGGAGCACTGGGGGCACTGGGAGGGACTGGGAAAGTAGGGAACCAGGGATACTGGGATCACTGGGGGGGACTGGGAGCTCTGGGGGGACTGGAAGGGACTGGGAGCACTGGGAATACTGGGAGAAGTGGGAGGGACTGGGGGGGACTGGGAAATTAAGGAACTAGGGATACTGGGATCACTGGGGGGGACTGGGAGTGGTGGGGGGACTGGGAGCACTGGGGGGGGACTGGGAGTGGTGGGGGGACTGGGAGCACTGGCAGGGGCTGGGAAGGCAGGGGGACTGGGAATGCTGGGAGCACTGGGAATGCTGGGAGCACTGGGGGGACTGGGAATACTGGGAGCACTGGAAGGACTGGGAGCACTGGGGGGACTGGGAATGCTGGGAGCACTGGGGGGACTGGGAGTACTGGGAGCACTGGAAAGACTGGGAGCACTGGGAATACTGGGAGCACTGGAAGGACTGGGAAAGTAGGGGGACTGGGAACGCCGAGGGAACTGGGAATGCTGAGGGAACTGGGAACACCGGTGCTGAACTGGTTCCCCCCCCCCGCAGCCCCCGCTGGGCAGGAGGAGGAGGAGGAGGAAGAGGCCGAAGGCTCCGAGGGCTCCGAAGGCCCCGACGCGGCCGAACTGCGCCGGCGCCGCCTCCGCAAACTGGGAACGACCCCCGGGAACGGGACCCCCGGGAACGGGACCCCCGGGACCCCCCCCCACTGACAGCGGGGCCGGAGAACCCCCCCCGGGAACCCCCCCGGACCCTCCCCCTTCCTCCTCCCCCTTCCCTCCAGTTTTGCCGCCAAAATTCCCGCCTGGAAGCAAAACCCGACCCCGGCTGAGCCCCTTCGGTGACCCCGGAACCGCCGCCCCTGCCCGGGGACCCCCCCCTTTGCCAGGGGGATCCCCCCCTTTGCCAGGGGAATTCCCCCCTTTTTCCAGGGGGATTGATCCCTTTTCCAGGGGGGTTCATCCCTTTCCAGGGAGATTGAGCCCTTTTCCAGGAAGACTGAGTCCTTCTCAGGGGGATCCCCCCCTTTTCCAGGGGAATCCCCCCTTTTTCCAGGGGGATTGATCCCTTCCCAGGGGGATTCACCCCTTTCCAGGGGGAGATTGAGCCCTTTTTCCAGGAGGACTGAGCCCTTCCCAAGGGGATCCACCCCTTTCCTGAGGGATTGATCCCTTTCCCCAGGGATATGATCCCTTCCCAGGGGAATTCATCCCTTTCCTGGGGGATTCATCCCTTCCCAGGGGGATCCACCCCTTTTCCAGGGGGACTGAGCCCTTCCTGAGGGGATTCACCCCTTTCCCAGGGAATTCATCCCTTTTCCCAGGGAATTCACCCCTTTCCCAGGGAATTCATCCCTTTCCCAGGGAATTCATCCCTTTTCCAGGGGGGATTTACCCCTTTCCTGGGGAATTGCCACCTTTCCCACCCCCTCTGGTTTAGCCCAGCTTTTCCCATTTTCCCTCCTTTTTTCCCCATTTTCCCTCCTTTTTTCCCCATTTTCCCTCCTTTTTTCCCCATTGTCCCCCATTTTTTCCCGGTTTCCCCCCCTTATCCCACTCCCTCCCTCGTTTTCCCCCCGTTCCCATCCATTTTTCCCCATTTCCTCCATAATTCCCCCATTTTCAACCAATTTTCCCCATTTTTTTCCCATTTTTCCCCCCTGGAATTTGGGTCCCTC